CAGGCATGGTGGCACATGCTTGTAATCTCAGCATGCGGGAGGCTGAAGCAGGAGGATCATTACAAGTTCAAGACCAGCCTGGGCTACAAAGTGAGCACATGGCCAGCTTGAACTGCATAGCAAGACCCTGTCTCAAAAAGACAAAAAGTAATAAATAAATAAATAAATAAATAAATAAATTTTTTAAAAAATTGAATAAATAAAAATATGGGAAAATAGTGACAATAAGTTATTATTGAGCCAAACAAAACTTATGTAAGGGATTTTGAGTAAAACAGGTCATTTTAAAAAGTGCACAGATCTAGAGATAAATTGAAATGATATTGTAATATAAAATATAAGAATAACTAACTTCGAATATTAGCACTAATTTAAAAAATCAAGGTGTTCAATGGCTAAACATATATTTATATTTATAGAAATTATGCTTGCATATTAGTTTCCAGATATGTATTTTTCCATTCAAAATCCTGTAAGATTCTAAATTTTTAATGTCTGCCTTTCACAACTTATCAGCTTACACAGTAACATGAAATAGTTAGTAGAAAATTCATAATTATGGAAAATACTGGAAAAATCATATGCATTTAATTATTATGTAATTACCAAGTGCATCAGCCTGCAACAAACTGAGTTTAATGTAATAAGAATGAGATATTTGTTACCTAATTATCAGTGTTTTCACTATTGACCATAGGAAAAAGTATATAGTAAAAATCATTCTCTAATTTGGGTGATTTCATAAGGAAAAATGCTTCTAGAGGTATTTAAATTAAAATACTACAAGCTGGTGATGGTGATGGGCACCGTCTGAAATTCTGTCGTGTGAGAAGCTGAGGCAGGAGGATGGTGGAAATTTCAAGGCCAGCTTGGGCCACACAGTGAATCCAGTCCAGCCTAAACTACATAGCAAGACCCTGTCTCATAAAGTCAAAAACAAAACAGAAACAAACAAACAAAATAATAAAAAAGAAAAGTATCGCAGTGGGAGATAAGAAAGACAATAACTTGTGAATAAGAAGGGAAAGGAGGGTTTCAGGGAAGGGAGGGTACGGAGAAAAAGAAGAAGCTGGAAGATATATTATGTACAGGTACAAATTCCCCACGATGTATGTGGTCATTATGTTTACTTAAAATGTATCAATAAAATTAAAATTTAAAAAATAATTTTGAAAAAGAAACAAAGAAAAATACACAGAAATAAGAGAGAAATCTAGGTGCTGAAACCTCCTGTAGCAATAGCCAAAAGCTTTTAGTGTCTCTATGAAACAATGGTACAAACAGGACTGAAAATAACCTCAGATGACTGAAAAAATCATGAACTGAAAATGTATGTAATCAACAGATTGTAGCAGATGACAAGACAGAGGGCAGATTAACCGGTTAGAGAGCTGTTATGCTGGTTTCTGAGGTTCCACATGTGAAACGAGTCTAGGGAAAGAAGAACCCATGAGCCCTAATAAATAGCTTTCAGGGCATTCTAGAAGTTGAAACTATCTGGGAGCTTTTATTTTCAGGCATCTCACCTTCAAAAGTATGAGAATAAATTTGTGTTGTTTAAACTGCTCTGTTCGTGGCATTTTGTTATGGAAGACAAAGGAACCTGAATCACACACTCTCTACTACAGAGACACTCTGGGGAATAAGGAGGGAGGGACCTAGAAGAGAAAGAAGTGGGGAGCCTTGAGTGCAATGAGGATTCCACAGGGAATATTCCATGTGAAATTACCTCTACGAGTGATTAACCAAATGGGAAACAATTTATGATTAGGAGACAAAGGACGTGCCAGATATGGCGGTGCACTTGGAGCCCCAGGATTCTGTGAGACTCAGGCTGCAGGAGTTCAAGTTCAGGCCCAATCTTGGGCAACTTAGGGAATTAGTGATATTCTGTCTCAAATTATACAAATGAAAAGGACTGCGTGTATTACGAGGGATTCATTCTCTAATACCAATAAATAAATACCCTGAAAGAGGAAGGAAAATTAAAATGTATTTTATTGATAAAGTAGTGTTATTTACATCTCCAAAGTCAAGTGAAAGAATTTAATGCTATGCACAGAAGTCAGTAAAGTATTAATTAATAAATGCTACCCATTTGAACCAGATCTATTACTTTTTAAAAATATAAAACAATGAAACTCATTGATATAAACACTGCAAATCCTAATATCTGAAGTTCAAATAAAGTCTAATGGTGTGCATGAAAAAAAATTCTCCTCTACAGAAAATTTGAATAAATTTTCTGATAAAATATTATGTATGCTATTGACCAGTAGAATCACATTATGTGCATATTTAGTTTACATGAATTCAATTCTACACTAGGAAAGATAAAATAAATGAACATACATGGCCTATAATATAAGGAACACAACTAGTTTGTTGTGTATTACATAAATATAATATAAGTAATTTTGAGGACTGAGACCTATGCAAAATACAATCTCAGTGAAAAACTGAGTATACTGGATAAATATTGTGCTGCACAATTTAAAAGTCAGGTTGTGATATATAAAAGAAGGAATGGTTATAACCTGGGATAAATGACAGGAAATGAGAAAAATGTGAGACATGCCACTGTAAATTGACCTAAGAAATAGCTCAATGCAACAATAGCACACAATTACGGTAAAGCCAGAAAGACAGCAGAAGCGAAATGGGAAGCTGACTGGTAGAGATCCAAGGAACACGGCTTACACCAGAGAAGTGAAGGGAGTAATAGGAAGAAGTCAATATCAGTATTCACTTAATTCTGCGTCATTACTCTCAGAAGATTGTCAATGATCATTAGATGCCTTAGATGACTGGAAATCTACTGGAGATGTGAAACCCAAAATACTGGTTTTATGTCTTTAATAGTTTGTGCTTTAACTAAATAAAACAATTGTCTTATTTTTAGCCATGGTACCTTTAAGACCATGCTCCAATCTGACATTCAGGCCCTTTTATTCCATCATTTTGAGGGATGGGAGTGGTGGTAGAATATAATGTGACCATGAGGAAAAATGTGTGTGTGCATTGCATCTACATATACTATGTGTCACTGTGCAAATATTATATTACTTTATAGTAAAATAACCCTACAATGTAGACATTTATCATCCCCTTTTTAAGGTAAGGGAATTAAAGCTAAAGCTGACGCTGTGATTTGCGCAATGTAAAGAAAGAGTTGAGTTGAGCCTACGACTCAGAAATCTGACTCCAAAATTTCAATTTTCCAATGGCATTGAGCATGGAATATGTAAGATGCTTTTGATGTAGTGTCATTTACTCTTCACAATTCTTTTATGTTCACATAAATGATTTTCACTTTCCCAATAGTTTGAGTCTTTAGGACATTACATAACTTGTGCAGAGAAAGCAAAGAAATGACACTGCTAAAATTAGAATCCCCTGGTGTTAAGATTTATATATAGTTTGAAATAAAGAGTGATGCACCATTTGCAAAATAGAATCTTTTTTAACTAATAAACAAAAGTGCACTTTATTTTATCCTCAAAAAATTCAAGAAAAACTGTTTCAAAAATACCACTAATTTTTGTGTCAACATATCATTAGTTTTTTTGTTTTTGTTTTTGCTTTTTAACAATAAGAGAATCCAATTAAATTTAAATTAGTGTGCCAGAACAAAGATTCCAGTGTTTAGGAATCTATTAGCTAATTTATTTTGATCGGTACATTTTCCTTCTCTTTATGAGCTCACAGTCTACTGCTCTCCAAAGGGAACTTAGACAGCCATGCAGTTTTCTGGATAATCGTTGCTACGATTCTGTCAGCAGCCATGTAATATTTTTGGCATCTGGGGACTGTAAACCTCTCTAGCAAAGGGAGAAAACTGCCTTGGATACAAAAGGTTAAAAACAAACAAAATTAAGAGGATGATACTCTTCTTGTAAATTGTCTTTCTCCTAACACAGCTCAAATCTGAATCAACCTATCAATATGTTAGGGAAAGCAAACGCTTGGTATAGAAACAAACACTGCTAATGTTGGCATCATCGCTCCCTTTCAGTGTTAAAGAAAAGGCTTACTATGTCACTTCCAATGACACTCGTCTTAATTAATTTGAGGATCTTAGATTTCATTCAGAGGGGAGGAAAAAAGGTAGTATCTGGTTTTAAAAAGTTGGACTGGAAACATCAGCTTATTTTATATACTAGCAGCAGAAATGTTAAGATGTTATCCAACAAGCTTTAACGATAAAAATCCATGTCCTTCTGGAAAACACTGAGTCATCCAGACCCAGACGCTCATGACAGCTATAACAAATCCTTTACCATGCAACACAATGTTATAAATCGAAACTGTAGAATAGTTTATGAACTTTCGGCCTCTCTTCCACACTTTACTGCTCACTAAATTTCCCTCGCCTATCCATGCATGAACAGAGCTTGATCTGGGTTAGATCCAGCTGGATCTTAAATCCAAAACCCTTCAGAAGCCAGATAGGAGACTTCTAAGACTTGTGATCAGGGATATGCACAGCAAAGGACACAATGTCCTCATGGTGCCAGTGCCGAGCAGATTGTCAGGTTGACAGATGAGTTAGAATGTCCTTTGTTGTCTTTTTTGTATTCATTTAGAGACTAGATAATGAAACCAAAATCTCTTTTTGTTCTGAAAATGTGACAATAAGCTGATATATGATTGTTTCAGGAAAACTTTTGTTATTGTTTCTATATTTGACTTTATGCATATTTTTATAGACTTGGCTTTATGCTCTGGTAATTTCCCATTTCATATGATTCCAATAGGAAGGCACTTGGAAGGTTACTGGATGTACTTCTTTTTAAAAATTAAAAACAATCCTGTTTTCATTTTATATTGTTGTTTACCTGTGTACTTCATCATTAATTTAGATTGCGTATAATGACCTTAAACTTTATTACAAAGGTACTAACTACAAAGAATCATAATGTACTTTTTGGGCATTTGGTATTTCCATTAAAAAAAAAAAAAAAAAAAAAAAACTACATGGCAAAATAAGTCTTACTTACCAAACTCCTTGGGAACTGCTATGGAATAAACACAATTATGTCCCACGCTATAATTTTTTGGATAATTTGGAGATAGAACAGTGCCTTCTGATCCTGTTGAACGGCTTCCACAGGGTGCTAGGAAATACATATGATAAAAATATTATCATTAGAAAAAAGTTTAAAATGTATCTCATGAATAACTTCTTGATATAAAACTTGAGAACTGGATTTTAAAATGTAGATTTTATTTCATTTTTAACAAGTTTGCGTGCTGTTAAAATAGAAACAAATCACTTGTGCAAAATTTTATAAATATTCAAATTTATTGTTCTCCAATGCAAAATAGTATAATAATATTATAGTAACATTATCTTTAAATGAGAATAGCAAGTGTTCATGATAAAATCATAGAAAAGTGGTCATGTTACTCTCAAACTGGGAAATCCACTGGGGACCATAGCTCTGGTAATAAAAAAGAGACTTGAGCTACTTATGAATAGAAATTTAAAGTTGATACTCTTTGACTGAGATCACTCTTAAAATTAAGTAAAATGAGAAAACAGCCAAAGAAGTTCTGTAGGACACCAAAGGTTTAGGGACAGATAAATTAGGTGTGGCAATAAATTCTCTTGCTTGCGAGCTAAGGGATAGAAAAGTTTTACCAGAAAGAAGAGGTTAAACCTTACAAAGTGGTTATTAAAGGCAGGGGTGTAGAGTGTGGACTGATTTGGGAATCTGGAAAGAAAGGGAATAGGTGCTTCTTTCCAAGTTCTATAGTGGTTTCCCGGGGGAAGGATTTTGGGCAGGCGCGCTTTTCTGTAGGCCCCGCCCCTTGTCTTTGTTAGAACATCTTTCCTGAGCTCCTGATTGGTGGGCCCTGGGCAGGACCTTGTCTTTCTCTTCCAAATTAGAGCCATCCTGCCTGATGTGTCATTTATTGGTGTGCTTATCCACACTAAGTTTTTCAGGTTTTATTTTTCTATGGAAAGGCTGCACTTATTGGGAGCAGTGAGATGGAAAGTTGTTATTACTGCTCCTCGTTTTTTATGAATAGAACACTAACGGTTTGAGATCTCTCACTCTGTTTATCGGGTTTAAACTTGGACAGAAAGGATAGATTATAATTTATTATCCCTCTCAAGTACCAACAAGAGGTTCTTGGAGTTATTAAAAGTAGTTTCATCTAGAGCAGCCCTCTGTAAATTATGGTCACTAGATCAAAGCCAACTCATGGACAAAGGTTTTTACCTTTTAAAAGAGTTAAAAACAAAAGAAAAACTGCAGGTATATACGAGTTAGAAAAACATGGTTGGTGGAGCCCAAAATAATATTTGTCCCTTTACAGTGAAGTTTTATGTTGGGCTGGTTTTTCTTTTCTTTCCTTTCTTTCCCCTCTCTTTTTTGCAGTCCTGGGTATGAAACTTGGGGTGTCCAGTTTGCTAGAAAAATGGTCTACAGTTGAGCTACATCTTATCTTGACTTTAGTTTTAAAGTGCACTTGAGTTACTATTAGGTTACTGCAAAGAGAGCTGTGACAGTTGGAAACATCAATACTTTTGCTGATTTCTTGGCCAAAATTTAAAAATACAGCAATATATGTAAAAATGCAAAAAAACCCACAAACATTATATTATATTGAGTAACACAGCTATTGAATGTTCTGCCTTTTTTCTTAATATACTGTAAAGGATACTAAATAGTTATAATTAAACACACTATAATTAAAACATGCCAGAAACAACAAATTGACAGTGATAATTATAACCAAGACCACATTTGCTCTCATCATTTATTATTGTCTGAGATTAAAATAGTCAGGTGTGTTCTTATTTCAGCAATGATAACTTTATTCAGCTGATAATGCTCCTGATGAGAGAATCACTCAAAAAATGAGCAGTGTATTTTATCTAAATTTTCTGTCTGATTTTAAAGTGCTCAGAATTAAAATTACAATACTTTGGAAGCACATGACAAAAGCTGTTATCTTTATATTTGGAAAGTGTGAATGGAAATGAGAGCTTCTAACGCAAGTTCAGTTCTGTGACTTAGTCATGAACAACCTGCCAGCCCACATTAACGTGTGTCACTTCGGATTTGCTTCTTATACTTTATTTTGCATAACAGATATTCAGGACAGCTTTTATTAGAAATGTCATTTATAAATGTGAAGGTTTTCCCTTTAAACCAAGAAAATATGTAATACCAAAGTTTAGTACAAAGTGTTGTGTTCTTATGGTAACTAATATGTCAAATCTGTTGTTAGCCATAATTATAAGGTTTGATTTCCTTTTCTTGTCTTTCTTTCTTTCTTTCTTTCTTTCTTTCTTTCTTTCTTTCTTTTTTTCTTTCTCTCTCTTTGTTTTGATTTGTGTGTGTGTGTGTATGTGCAGTGGTCGAGACAGAGATTCACTACCAACCTGGTCTAGAACTCTCTATAGAGCATTGATAGTCTTGGATTTGTAATCCTCCTGCCTCAGCCTCCAAGGTGCTGAGATTACAGGTGTGTGCTACCATGCTTGGCCTCATCATGAGTAGATTGATGATAATAATGCAGAATTCTGTAGTGGCTGACAATAATCGTACATTATCTATCATAATCTGTTTCATATGTATAAAATATAAGTGGAATAATGATTCAGCTAAGTCACCTCCACTCTTTCTCCTAATACTGGTCAGTAGAGGCCTTTTATATTCTCTATCTAGTAGGGAAAAGGATGGCATATATATATATATATATATATATATATATATATCCCTAACAGCAGAATATAAAAGCAAACAAAGACTTTAAATTCTGCCATTGTTTTTGTCTTTTGACATATACTTCATATACTTCTTAAAAATGGCAATTATTTTCTATGTATCCATTATGATACATTAAATATGAAAACACACCTACTCATGGCCATGACTCACATAACACATGAATCCATAGCTTAGTTGCATGTCTGTAGAACATTACACAAGTATGAGAAGAGATGGTCCTGTGAGTGAGTAAGGATGGGATACAGATGAGTAAAAGGAAGAGGGCTATTTTACAGAGGGCATTGGTAAGGTTTGTAAAATTCTCAACATCATACCTGAGCACGGAAAGCTCTCTCACCCTATAACATCTGCTACCATTTTATTAGTGATACTAATGTCTATGTAATTGATTGAATTTAATCATGATTTTAAAGCACTGAAGTAATGCACTTTATTTTTTAATTATTTAAATTTATTGGTACATTTTGGGTATACATAATGATCACATTTATCCAAAAAATTTGTGCCTGTACATGATATATCTTGATTCTTTTTTCCCATTTCCTTGCCCTCCCTTCAGTCCATCTTCCCTTCCTTATAGAATTATACTTTATTCATTTATTTATTGATTTTATTGAATACCAGGGATTGAACTTATTAACACTGAATTAAATCCATGACCCTAGAAGTGTACTTTATATGTAATTATAGAACCAAATTGCATCTGAGGTTTAAACTGTCAAACTTACCTTACTTCTAAAATGCTATCTTCCTTTATTCCGCCTTGCTGACTTGGGGTCCAATCACTGCCTGGTTGCTTCCACTTTCACGTAGCACATCACTTTCCCTCCCTCTTCTCTAATTTTGTATCTAGCACAGTTCAGACTCTCAGCAGATTCTGCATAGGCTTTTCTAATAGATGCCTAGGGCTGCTCATCGCAACTTCATTCCATCATTAATGACTTTTCTACCACACAAACCTTCTCATACGTGCTGCACTTTGGACAGCACATATACATGTAGCAGGCACTGTATTAGATCCTGTTAGCTGATTAAGTGATCTATGAGTGCAAGGTCAAGCTACCATAAAATGACTTTCCACAGTCAGCATGTGAGTCTTCATCTCTAGATGTCCCCACAGAGCTTCATGTGCTTGCATAGGTTGGCTTTGTGGTATGACTGGATCATGCATGTGTGATACCACTGAATCAGTCCATGGATGGGCTTACACCGGGGTGTGAGGTCCGGAGGTGAAGCCTGCTGGGGAGAGGGAGGCTGCTGGGGGGTTCACCGGGAAGGGGCTAATTCCCACCTTGGTCCCTTCATTCCTCTCTGCTTCCTGCTTGACACGTGAGGAGCTCTTTCTCTTCTGCCATGACCATCTTCCATGCTTCCTTGCCTTGAGTCAGCCAACTATGGACTGAAAGGCCTACAAACTATGAGCCAAAACATACCTTTCCTCTTTTAAATTGTGGGTGTGGGTTGTTGAATCTCAGCAATGAGAGTAAGTAAGCAATGAGAGTAAGGTTTGTAAAATACCATGCAGTCTCTCAGAATCACACCTGACCAAGGAAAACTCTCTTGCCATGTAGCATCTGCTACCATTTTATCAGTGATAATATCTATATAATTGATTAAATTTAATCATGATTTTTGAAGCACTGAAGTATTGCCCTTTATTTTTTAATTAAGACAGTATATAACACAGACGTTTTATTTGGTTCAGATTACCCCAGTAAATTTACTTCAATAGTGTGCAGAATCCAGGCAGGTCTTTATTTCTTACTTTTTAATTAATTAATTATTTCATTAATTAATTATTTAGTACCAGGGATTGAACTCATGACCTTGTGCTTGCTAGGCAGGTGCTTATGCCACTTAGCTGAATCCCTGGCCCAAGACATGTCTTTATAAATCTATGTGAACTTATTTTCTTTCTGTGATTAAACTTTTTGCTGCTTCTTTGTTTGATTATCTGGAATCACTATGGCTTTACATTCAGGAACAATACTGTGTGAAAGACATGAGTGAACCTTAAAACATTAGCAGCATAATCAGTGGTATGAAGTTTAAACAACAGGAACACGTCGGTACTGAGTTTCACTGAACAAATGCAAAGTTATGTCTGCCATTATAGTAGCAAATGCATGCTAATCTTTTATTGGACTGGGGCATCATTCATTGAGTAAATGAAAACACCAATCATGTAATTTCTTGTTCTTTCTTATTTTGTTTTTCTATTTACTTTTAAAAATATCTTTGCTGAATTCTTATAATTTCATTCATGTTACTAAATTGTGTCCTAAATTGTGTCCATAATTAGATTGGATAGGCTTGTTTTACTCTTGGATTATGTAGGCAGTATTACAGTTGATATGATTTAGATGGAA